GTTGAGAGCTGGAGATTCTGGAGAATTTGGTATATTAGATTTTAGCATATGTGTTGTTGTTTTGATTTTTTCAATATTTGCAGTTGCTTTGGTTTTTTCTATATTATCTTTGGCAAGTGATGTAACTGGTTTCGCAATATAATTTTTGGTTAATGGTGGAACAGGTTTTTCATTGGAAGCAGTTGCAGTTAAAGTCTTACTAGGCTCAATTTGCGAGGCAACAGCAGCATAGGTATTACTTTTGCCAATTCGATGGGCTACAGATGGATTTCTTTCCCGGTATGTACGTCGCGCTTCGCCCATGCTACAGTAATTTTCTGTTTTGATTTTTAATATTTCACGCATCTGTACAAAACGTGGGCATTGTTTGTCTAATGCTGAGTGTTGATCATTGCAATTTATGCAAAAACTACGGGTACAGCTTTCAGTATGTGGAGGATGACCACAGTTAGCACAAGATGCAGCATTAGTGCATCTTTTTGCCGTATGACCCAGGCGTTGGCAACTTTTACACCTCATAGGATTTGGGATGTATAGTTCTACTTTACATTTATACCACGCCACATTAACTGTTCGCGGTAATCGATAGCGATCAAAAGTTAAAATAATCCTTCCTGTAGGAGAGCGTGTTTTTCCGTCATCATTCAGTTTGGTTAATTTATATGCTTCAGTCACTCCTTGAATGCCCATTTCGCGAACAATTTCATCTTCCGGCACATGCTTTAAGCAAGGGGCATCGGAAATATTTTATTCATAGGTTGCAAAGAAAAAACAAAAATAAAACAAAAAAGTTTTCCGATAATACACACACGTAAGACTAAGAGCGGATTTTTTGTAAATACAAACCATATTCAGACATTTAGCAGCGTTCGATTAGCGGTGTTCGATTCAACTTTTTTAATCGAATTATTGCGGGCGACTATCTTCATCTGTAACTCATTGACAACAGACCGTTTAATAAGGCCACGGTCACCATTCTTTATAAGGTACAGCCAACAAATTTAGAACACATTTCTTCAAATTTAGTATTCAAGATAGATGTTTCCAAGTAGACCACCATACGAAATGTGTTATATACATAGGACAAGGATACCGACCCAAACACTTCAACTTTTGTCATATCACACCCGTCGCATAAGATGCTCGATTGGTTTATGATAGTTTGCTTACACAGTTCACACTTATAAGCTTCTTTCAGTGCAAAATATATACTTAGGCGAACCATACGCAAAGCAACCGAAACCCAGTGAGCAAAAATTTTACCAAAAACCGCATTAAACCATTTTCTTACACAAGTAATCTTAAATGATAAAAAAATTAACCAGCCATAACAAAAAAGTGTCTACTAAGACATAGCGTTGCGAGCTCTTTAATTTTCGTTTACTTTTACGATTAAAATAAGATGCCGCCACAGGCAAAGACAGCTTTTATTATGTTAAGTGCATGAAAGCTCAATAGGTGGGAATGTAAGGTAATCTTCTATCGGTCTTAACCTAATGGCAACAATTGGCTAATGGAAAGATGTTTAGGTTAAATTAGAATACTCGCGCATATTGTTTTGTTTGCGTAATACCAAATCAGCTTACTTGCGTTGCTACAACAACACTTTTTTCCTTATAGAAAGAGATACCAATATACTAATTTGGAAGTAATCGCCATAAATTTATATTGTAGCTCAAACATGATATATATTATTTGTTATTTCGCAAATATATCCCTGTTTTGTCTGTCAAAGAAAACGGGAACAGAAATTTAAAAGTTTTCTAAAAACTTACGTACACGCACAGCGCAAGGTTGACACAATGAAGCGTCATTTTCATTTTCGGATTAAAAACTCTTAAGTGATAGCACAATAGGCACCCACGTTACCAAATGCTGAAATAAATATAAATTAGACAAATAACTTTAAAAATGACTATGACCGTCATTCTGCGTTTTTTTCCTATTTTTGTCGTATTTGTTTGTATGCATGCAAAAACATATGGTTTGTCAATTTTTCTTATTGTGTCAGTTTACTATGTTCATCTAAATTTGAATTCTTCCCACCAATTTCATTTTGACAGTTCGTGAACCACGCACCACGCGTAATGCAAGCATCGTGTTCTACTTAACATTGCTATTGCTATTTGTATGGATGAAGTTGTTGCTAGTTCTTCATAGTTTAAATCATGAACTAAAAAAAAAATAGTGTTAATACTTCCTTTGTGGGTGTGCTGCAAAAATTAAAATTGAGGTTTTAATCACATATTTTTGCCATCTACTTATATGTTTCATTATAAAAATTTGTTCCATATTTTATAAATGATTATATTCACGTTCCTTAGGCGGTCAGGGTTGTTTTTTTTGGCACTTTGCTTTTTGTTTTCACAAATTTCAATTTGAGCAGTAGTGAAAGAAAGCAGACTTTTTGAAGTTTGGTTGTTGTTTTATCACATTTTATCATTTAACGCTTTCGTTTTTCTTTTCCTCACATTTTGTTTATCAAAATTTAATTCTAATTTGTATTTATGTATTAAACGAAAACAGTATTTAACTATAGCGAAATAGTATAGTGTTTTTTTTTCGATTATGCGTAAATTGAGTTAAAATATAAAAATATTTGATTAAGTAGTTTGATTTATCATTTCGAGGGCAAAAACAACCACGAAAAAGCTCTCGCTTTATTTTGTTATCACAATAAAAGAAAAGGAGATCGCAAGAAAAACGTGTTCATTTAACCAATTGCTTTAGGAAGATGTGTGATATGCCTAGCACATCTTTGAATGAACTTCATGGGATGACATCTGACTCTGCGATGTTAAATCCTGAAGTAGCAGAAGAAGAAAGACAGAATTTGCAGAAAATTATAGCTGCTTTAAGATATTATCGGTAAGTTGAGAGAAGCTACGTTCGCTATATTAAAAATTTTTTTATTTTCTTTAGAACACACTTGTTAAATCGTGTCAATAAGACCACCAATTATTTGAATAGTCTGCCTAAACGCCATCAAGACATGCTTGTTAAATATCGTCATCACCTAAATGTAGTTCGTGATTGCATTGACAAAAATCAAATGGTTATCAAAAAAATGTTGAGAGACAATTTATTGTTAGGTGGAGGTAATGCCGGCCCTGAGATTACCCAAAAAGATTTGGACGGTCATGCAACTAAAATTAGACATCAGGACATGGAGCACGTAAGTATTTTGTTAAACACTTCACTTTTCAATATTAGTTTTTAAAGTTGTACTGGTAGCTGATGTTCTGTGTTTAACGATACTCCTACTTTTCTGTTGTATAATGGGAAACCGGCCACTTTGTTTCCTCTTGTAATGGTTCTGTTAATTCTCACCAAAACAAATCAATATTAAACAACAAACAATCAAAATCAGTCTGATGAGCATGTTGAACCTTTTCAAATTTTAAAGGCCCAATCGACATTGAAAGCCATTGCTCGAGATTGGAGTATGGAAGGAGCTGAAGAACGTGAACAATCGTATAAGCCAATCATAGATGCTATTGAGCATTATTACAATCCCAAGGACTTGTAAGTGAGAATTGTGGTACGCATAACTTTATTAAAATCTTACAGAAATTTCAAAAATTTCAGAAAAATTAACGAGATCAAGATTTTAGTTCCGGGTTCTGGTTTGGGACGTTTAACTTATGAGTTGGCGTGTCGCGGTTACGAGTGCGAGGGGAATGAGTTTTCTTACTTCATGTTACTTGCTTCGAATTTTGTTCTTAATTGCTGCAAGGAAGAGAACATGCATACTTTATATCCTTGGGTGCATCAGAACGTTAACAACTTGCATAGAGCCGATCAAGTGGCAGCTGTACGCTTTCCTGACGTGTGCCCTGATAAGAACAAGCCCACAGGCCTTCTTTCAATTGTAGCTGGCGATTTTCTCGAGGTCTGTCAAAATTTACTTTCCAATCGGTACGCCCTGTTTCATTACCTGCATTTTAGGTGTACAAAGCTCCAAGTTGTTTCCATTGCGTGGCTACATGTTTTTTTATAGACTGTGCCAACAATGTCGTAGATTTCATCGAGACTATATACAACATTTTGATGCCGGGGGGTATATGGGTAAATTTGGGACCTCTGCTTTATCATTTCAGTGACGTACCAAACGAACAGAGTATTGAGCCCACCTATGAAGACATTCTACACATAATTAGCTGCATTGGGTTTGAAGTCCTAACGTCAAAATCTGGCATACGCACCAAATACGCTCAAAATCCCCAATCAATGTTAAAAAGTGAATACGAAAGTCTATTTTGGATTTGTCGGAAACCGTTGACTAATACTATTGAAGCAGCGGTTGACGGAATGCAGTCTTCCGCTGAAATCAGGGATGAGCGTTGTGATATAAACGGCTATAATGAATGCTAAAGTCAAAAGTAATAGTGAAGATGAAGACAATAGCGACAAATAAAATGTACACAAACGTTTTCATATAATATTAACTAATTTCATGCGTAAATAGACGACGAAGATAAACAATTTTGGATTGGATTCCTTTTATTTTATAATTTTGTTTAAGATAAAAGAACGTGATGAAAATTAAAAAAAAAATGTTTTAATCTTTACAGTTAGCGTTAAGAAACTGTACAAAAACTTGCGGCGTTTTCTCCAAAGAGCCTGTGGTATTCTGATGTAGCTTTGTGTAGTTGAGGAATTGCCTTCTTAGCCGATTAAGTTGTATAGCGTTAACATTTGTCGGTATATCGACTTTTGTTTGACTTTGATTCACTGTGATTGCACCCAAGATACCTACCTTTCGAGCTAACAAAATGTCTCTAACTATCTCTTGCGTCAGACGATCCAATTCGAATAAATAATTCGTGGAGCTTAAAGGTGGCTGAGTACAAAAAAAATATCGTTATAATGAAGATTTTATATATATTCTTAAGCAAGCATGCTTACATTTTGTGTTGATTGGTTTGGTGGTAAAGGTTTTGATTCAAATAAAGCTGCAAAAATGTTATCGAAGTCTAGTTTGTCTTCGGGAAAATTTACAAACAAAGGATTATCCCAGCGGCAATTGCTATGAGGTTCTTCAAAACGCATACACAATCCTTCAAAGGTGTCCTTAATATAAGGTATATTGGAATTGTCTTGTATCGAATCATTTTCCATTTTTTCAACTTCTGTCGTCTCTTTGCCATTTCTTTGTAAATTAAATTCCCAGGCTTGCTCCTTCTGTATGCCACAAAACACGCAACACTGTGTGCTACGGGCGGCTTTTGTTGCGCAAAATAATTCATAACGGTAACCTATTCCCAAAATAGATGAGTTATAACTTCCCTTCAAGAATTTAAGCTGTTCCTTACCTTTAATATAATTGCCTGCATCTAATATTACTACGCATGTTTTATCTAGAAATCGCAGCACTTCGGATTTCAAATCGCTACGTATTAATTTCTCCTTTTGTGAATCGATAAAGTGGTCATTTTTACGAAAACCGGCTTTTGGTACGGCTCTGTTTTCACTGAGAACATAGACAAGTTTTTCCCTCGACTCAAAGTAATGTTGTAATTCCCGGCAGCGTCTAGTTTTGCCACTTGCTGGCAAACCACACATTACTATTAAAGGCATCTCTCACCAAACGAGCTTAAAAAGTAAATTCCAACTTTTACAAAATATGTGAAATCACATGTAAATCAAAAAGTGATTGAAAGTAATTCCAAATATAAACTTCACTCCTCTTCTTCTTTTTTTTAGCAAATTAACAGTGAAAAATTCGCTGTGATGTGTAAAAGGGTCAATGTGAACACAAAGTTCTTTGTTTGAGCGTTAATAAAATTAGGGTTAGTTTTGGTATATAATTATTATTTTATATTTATTTTATTACTTCTTTGTATTTTATGGTGGCATTTTAAATTAACCATTATTTTTATTTTTTTCTTGGTTGGTGAGTGGAGATGGAATAAGCCAATAGATTTGTGGCTTATATGTCCAAAATTAATCATTAAAGACTAACGAGAATAAATGCAAAAATAAGATGAAGAGAATAATCAGCTGTTTCAACTTATATTTTCATATTAACAAGAAAGCAATCAAAATTTAGAAGTAAATTAATGCAAGAAGACGGATCCAAGTCGATTGGAATAATAACTTTTAGCTTTTGTTGGATAACACGAATAGCACTTCACTTAAAAATTTAAATAAAAAAAAATTTTGCTACTAATTATATTTCAAAAAGACTAATATAAATTACAATGTCTGAAAAGAGAAGACGTTATAGAAAATCAAAGGTGCATAATATTTATAATTTAAGAGCATACGTCTCTCATTGATTTTGAATTTCAGGAAGAAAAACGTTCTTCAGCATTGGCAGCAACGTTTAAAGAATTGAATATACAACCTAAAATTTTGTTGAAAACTAAAAATGAACTTAAAACAGAAAATGATTCCCGTGGATCAACTGTCAATACCGAGCTGATGAATCCCGTTACTGTACAAGTGCCACAGAAAACCATAATTTTTACCAAAAATGCACAAAGTCCGGCCATGAGTCCGAATACTATCCGAGACCAAACTAATAACAGTAATAACGATGCCTCTCAACAAGCACAAGTTGTTGAACCTGTACCGCAAATGACTCGCCCTGCTACAGTCATTTCCTCTGTTGGTTTGATTATAGATTCGGCTAAAAAATTACTAATGAAAAATAATAGCGATTTTATGGTAGTGGGTGTGATAGGCACTCAAGGTGTGGGGAAATCTACTATTCTCAATTTATTAGCCAATGAGCAGCCCGATTTCAATTATTATCGTAAAGTATTTGTGGAGGAAGACAGTGTCTTTCCTACCAAGTTAAAACTGAATAAGTGTTCGGCTCGCTCACGTACTGAGTCAACTCATATGTTTATTACCCCAGACCGTTTGATATTGTTAGATACTCCTCCGGTATTATCTAATGCTTACAAAAAAGACATGACCAACAATGAATTGGATGATTTAACTAATATTATCACTTTGCTATCAGCTTGCCATCTTCTTATCGTGGTAATGGATGATTATTTTAATTTAAATTTTTTGAATTTGTTACGTTTCGCGGAATTAATGAAACCATCTCAAGACGTTAAACCATTTTTACACAACTACTTTCCCAATGTGTTGTTTGTAAAGAACCATGCTAAACGCTTGGATTTTGCTCAAGCTAATACAACAATTCTTGAGAACATTCTTAAGTCTCTGTTCAGAGATTCGCAATTGCGCATCTATCGGGGACAAAGCATGGATTATATACAACAAGATGGACGGACTTTATTATCGAAACAAAGGAAAGCACGATCATCGGATGTTGAAAGGGCGGTCAATGTTTTTTTATTACCTGAAATTAAATCTGAGGAGGCTACATGTTATCATGAATCACTTTCGACTATTGTGGAACAATTGCGTTGTTTAGTCTTTTCAACACCTCGTAATCAAATGTACGTTGGGCCTACGGACCTAACCGAAGAAATATGGTTCGAATGGCTTGGAAAGGTATCACAATCTGTAGATCATTTCTTTTTTAAGACATATGGAGATATACAGCGCAAATATTTGGACGCAGCTCCGGGCGCTAAAGAGAATGCGACAAACAGTTCCAAAGATCTAGAATCTTGGAGAGATTAATAAAGGCGATTTATGCTTTTGGTTATTTTTCCTTTTCTTTTAACTCCGTATTCCCTTACATTAGATATTATTATTACTCATTTTCATCATTTTTATCATAAACTTCTGAAATACGTTTTTCTTTTTCTATGGTGCAATTTACAAGCTCACATGAGATTTAATTTTCTATGTTTTAAATTGAAGGAAATTTACAAAAATTATAATAATAATAAAGTAAAGAAATGATAAGCAATAGTAATTTTATTAATTAATCGAGTGTAGGAAGCTTTTCTGAAAAGAATGAGGCACAGTGAAATCGATCTGCAAATAAAAAATGCTTCTCTCTCTTTCTCTCTAGGTCAGTAGCATTTAAGCGAGCTAACGAGAAACAAATACAAAAATTAGGTAATGTTAAGTAAAAATGTTCATTTTCGAACATTTCAGCGGTACTGTATGTAGACCTTCTTGGTGTTTTTTATGGGATTAAGATATATTTTTTGCTTATAACTTCATTTAAAGTTAAAAAAAAAGTAGTTGAGTTGTTATTTAATATAAGTTTTTATTTCTTATGAAATATATTTTTTGATCCTTAATCCATAAATACACTTTTTAGTAAAAGAATGCTCAATTTTCGCTACTGTATCTAGGCTTTATTGGACTACTTTAGATTGCATGACCTTCACGACGACAAAACTCATATTTTTCAATATGCTGACGATTTTTTAACATTGTCCGCTTACTCATCCTTTTCAATAGCTGTGAATAATCTCTCGATATAAGCTAACCTTTTTTTCGACACGTATGCCGATCTTAGTTTATATTTTTAGTCGAGTAAAACAAATACAATTTTTTTTGCCAAAGACACTAAACGCAAAATTAGGCTCTTTATCAAAGAAACTAAAAATAATTAGGTGAAATCTTTTCGATTTCTTGGTAGAATTGATAGCCTTCAAAAACTATCAAAGACTGGATGAAATATCATCAAACTCACGACTAACAATCAGTCAAGTTTGCCTTCCGAGAAATTACAGAGCATTATTCCGGTCTAACCTCGAATTTGCACATACTACATCTTGCAAATCTTTCATATAAAAACGGCTCAATTTTGTTCATTAAACACTCTCCCCATGTAGCAATACGGGTAATTCATAAACACATCTTTCAATAACTAAGCGATGAATTTAAAGAAATTGCTCGTGCTAAAATTAATCTCTATCCTCTTCTATAAAGTAAATCCCAGCAACACACTTTAATTCCTGGGAGATGAAAATACTTTGGAGACTCACGATGGCCACACTTATACACTGTATTTAAAAATGATCCGGGCTATAGCAAATGATATTTGCGAACATCTCATCTCAGATGTCACAGGTTCGATGAAGTATTAGAAGTGCTTTGAGCATTTTAAATTTATATAATGGCCTCTTCGATCTCTTTAAAGAGGAACTAATTCGCTTGGTTAGGGAAGCGAATCTTCCGAATGTCTATTTAACTTATGGCAATTTCTTACTATTCCTCATTTTTACGTTTAATCAATATCCTCTCGATAACATTGTTTCTTCAGCCAAAGTTTAAATTTACTGTTACACTTAACATATTGGTTTTAACATATAATGACTTGTTTTTTGTTTTTGTGTTATCTTAAAAATATACATATATATCTTCTGCAAGCAATCATCACATTCTATCATCTATCATCTCGACATATAAGTTATATTCCTCATAGGCTTGGTCCAATTAAACTCAAAATCGAAGAAAAAACAATAATAACAGTGTTGGAGTTGCCTGGAGGAAGCACCCTCCTCTTCACTCTTTCAACATCTATATTCAAATGGATAAAACTGTAAATACTAAAAACATTCCATGGCTTCATTTTATCGACGATCATTATTTTAATTGTGGTTTTGTGTGTGTGTTTTTATCTAATAAAATTTTACGAAAACAATCTATTATATTAACCAAAAACTTTTCTTACTTATTTTAATTAGATGAGTTCATTTTTTAACTGGAACTTTTTATATGTTATAGAGCATAAAGGAATGAAAGAAGGCCTGGATTTTGATTGGAACCCTCGAGTTTTTTTTTTTTTTTTAAAAAGAGAGTTTATTGCGTTATTTAACTCATTATTGTGTGCGCTGTAAATCGACAATTTTAAGTAAGAACATTATGTTCGGGCGACGCCGAGCATTACATACCCCACATCACATAGCTTATTAGTACACTTATTCGCTCATTTTGGTAATAATACACCAAAAAGTACACATTATTTTCATGAAGGCTCTCATATTGGAAGATTATATTTTCTGTCCGATTAAGAGTTTGTCTTTCATGATAGCGCCTATGTAAATAAGGGTGCACAACCAAATATAGCTTTACGTGATTCAAATTCGCTACCGTTAAATTTCTTTGCTGAACGCTCCTATGAATTATTAAGATATCATGAGATATCTTATACGGAGGGGGAGGAACAATAGATTCTAGTGGTTCAAATTAGGTCCACGTAATTTTTTTTATTTAATTTCTATCATGAGCAAATTTTGATCACAAAAAGATTAGCAGTTAAGCTTTTTCACCATATAAGGGGTCACGTTTCATGAGGATCCTTATATGCGTGGTCCAAATTCGGTAAGGTAAACTTCTCCAATGTTCACTATAAAATATTGGAAATTTGAGGTTTTTACCATATAAAGCTACCATATAAAGCTAAAGAGAGAGGGCTCAAAAAATTGCCCAACCGGTAGTTTTCACACCAATTTAGAATGAAGATGTAATACTGCTTAATCACTTTTGTCGAGATATTTTGAAAATTGCAATTTTTTTCCATATAACAACTTTTAAGAATACGGCGTTATACGGGGGAGAGCCAATAGCCTTCGTACTTGCGCCAGCGTATGTCAGCGTACGGAATGCCATCAAAGTATTTCAAAAATTGCGACCTGCAGCTTGAGCGTAAGAATACATGGACATACGGACAGATGGACTTAGAACGATTTACAAAATGATTTTGAATCGATCGGTATCATAAAAGGTGGGAATTAAGTCCTACTGGATGTTACATACGTCCGCACTAACTTAATATATCTCGTACCACAAATGGTGTAGGGTATAACAAGACTGCTACAGTTCCTACGCACAACAAGTACTCTGCTGGCAAAAAGAGGATATAGGCGATTTTCCTTGAATTTTTTTCCTTTAATAAAAGATATTTTAATAATATTCTATCGTATATATATATTTTTCACTTTTATTGGAAAATTCATTTTCTTTGTCGTGTCTCTCAAAGAATTTTGTTTTTTTTTTTTTTTTTTTTG